GGGCTCCTTCCTCTTTTACACAGGTGACCAGGTGTGAAAGGAGGACGGACATGGGGCATATACCCCGGCCGATAGTGTGGTACAGGGCCTCTCATGCCAAAGCCAAATTGATTGACCTGAGACTGGAAGTCTGGGTGCCAGTGAGGTTGAGGGAAACCAGGAGGCGGAAAACGTGGTACCAGCTTGCCAGGATGAGGCATCTCTTCTGCTTTCTGTGGACCTTCTTTCACACTCTCATCCAGATCCTTGTTTGCTTGTCCTATGGTGCCCGGCCCTGCTTTGGGCTCCAGTCCCCGGGCCTTCTGCACCTGAATGTAGTCAGCCAGCTCATCCTGGAAGGAGTCGTACACTTTCTTCTGAGATTTGCACAGTTCCATAACTTTCTTCTCTCTAAGGGCAAAGATAAATGACATTTCACTGATTTGGATGGTTAATAACAAGCAGCTTAAAGGGGTCCTATTATGCTTTTTCACTTTTTTAATTTTAGTCAGTGTGTAGTGTGTATGTTTGGGCATAAAAAAGATCTAGAAAGTTACAAATCTCAAAGTCCACTCCAAAGGGAGATATTTAGTTTTTTAAAAATCCATTTTCAAGAACTACAGCAAACGGCTCGTTTGCGAAGTGGACATTACCAGATATTCCGCCATGCTTCCAGTTTGAAGGGAGCGTATATGTTCCATAAAATGGGCATTTAAGTGTGCGAGACGTGAATTTAAATTGTATTTATTTACAGAGGTATATTATGTCCCACTTCACGCTTCTCTAGTAAGTTTCATTTGTGTGTGAAGACGCTGCAGGCAGCAGCGCAGCGCAAATCTGTAAATGAATATTCCTAAGTGAAGTAAACTTCAACGGATTTCCCCTGCTCAGGGAGTAGGGAGCAATGGACACTGTGTAGGGACCATGTCAGTCGGAACACAGTTCATGCACGGAGCTCACTTCTAACGAGATGATGATCTGAATCAGGTGTGTTAACAAAGAGAGACGTGCAAAACATGCAGAGCGGGGGTATGCGAGGACTGGAATTGAGAACCGCTGGTCTAGAACAATTCTTACAAATAACAACATCATGTAGCTGGGCTCCGCGGACAGTCACCGCCGGTGTGCCTACACTCATAGAAAATAATATATTTGAATTTTAAAGACGTGGTACGACACTGCACTTCTCGTCCGGTGTGCGAACGCCTGAAACTTTGTTTTTTTCACCTCCGTGCACAAACGTCTTTGTTTGGGCTTCCGAAAGCGGATGATGTCAGGAAACAGTGGTTGCAATTTATTTTTTATCTCTGTTCCTGCAGTGGTTGCAATTTACTTTTTAACTCCTTTCCTGAGCATTATAGCCCCAATTTGCTATAGTGTGCTGCGCATTTTACTGAGGACAGCTGCCACATCACGAGTGAGAAGTGCCGGATTCGCCAAAAGCTTTTGTTGAAAGACGGAGCAAGGGGGCGTGGCAGTACTGAAACCCTGTCTAAGCTGTTCGCCAATCACAACGCACTGGGACAGCTAACCAATCACAACAATCATTTTGTTTTTCGGAAGGCAGACCTTCATCAAAGTAGGAACTAATCGAGCCGTTTGTGCCAGCCTGGGGAGAAAGGTATTTTAATAATGTAAATTATATGAAAAATAATGCGTTTTTCAAACCACCAAGCATGAGAGCATGTTATAGTACACCCCCAAAACTAAATCAAGACTTTGTAAAAGAGCATAATAGGACCCCTTTAAGATAAAAGTAGTTGCATGTAAACAAGTGATTGGCAATATGAGTTTAGAGCCAACAAATTGGTGAGGAAACAATTTTCACTCAGAAATTGCTAGTAAGTTTCACAAAAAAATACAAAGAAATGGCATGTAACATGCTGAAATCAGAAAACTAAAATGTTATTTTCTTGTAAAATATACTCCCATCTTTTAATTTACAACTTTAAAATTTCTTTTTTTTATTTTTATACAGTGTACGCAAATATGCAAAATGCAGAAATAATTGTACTATGTACTCAAATTTCACCTAAAGTCAACAGGGAATTCATCCATTTGCCACAAAAATTTCTCTAATCTTATACATTAAAGAAATTTATTAAATTAAATAGAAAAAAAATATATTAAAAAGAAGAACCTATGGTTGGATTTTGTCTATGAATACATATTTAGAACATAATGTAAAGATCCACCCGCCAGCCCAAAAAGCAGAATCCAGCGGCCTGGTCGAAGGTTTAATGCGTATTCGGTCTTTTACTTGTGCTTCTGAATTTATCAGGACTTAGTTTCAATTTTGTCTAGCTCCGTATTCAATCTGACTCCAATTTTACGTGATCAGTAAGTAAAAGACAGAATACGCATTAAACTTTCGACCAGGCCGCTGGATTCCGCTTTTATGCTGGCGGGTGGATCCTTACAGTAAACAAGATTCATTCTGATTTCCCATTGACTTTAAAATATTTGAAAGCATACAACGTTGGTTATCAGCCAATACTGATAATCTAAAAATGTCAAATAATTGTTGACTAAGCAGCCTGGCCTATATATCAACCTAATGCTAATGTAAACTTAAGTTCTATCTTCTAAAACAAGACCCAAATCCCAGAGGCTGTAACAAAAACGGCATCAGATAAAATAACCAATGAGAGCGACGTCACTCACTTGACAATGTGTTTGTTTCCCTGCATGTGTGCCTGGTACATCTCTATTGAGCTGAGCATCAGACAACAAATCGGGCAAGTCAGCGAGCTCACTGAATGTGTGTGAGAGAGAAAAACAAAATAGTCCAAGAAAGAGGGTATAATGATAAGGAAATATCAAATGTTAAGTTCTTCAAATATCAGTGGACGACCACTGAGTACAACAATACTTCTGTTTACATTAATGGATTACATGTGACATCCTAAAATTATGATATTTTATATACTTTATATAATTATTACATTTAATTAAATATAATTTATAATAATCATCATAAATATTATTGAATAAAAAATTGTAATGAATTTTAATATTTTGTCCTAGTAAATTAAAAACCTAAAGATAAATATCTGTTGCTGTATGAAACAAAGTGTAAATACAATGGTAAGTAGTTCCTGATAAAAAAAAATATATTGATAATTCTGTAAAATGATAATGAATTCTAATGAAGTAAAAACTCATTCAAACAGTGTCATTCAAACATTCAATCTTTCTTTCATTTTGGTGGTTTAACAGTAAGCTAACTTTAGAATTTATGGTAATGTCTATATATATATATATATATACAAGGTATTATTGACTTGTGATGCACAGTATCATACTTCAACCAGGTAGGCCAGGATCTGGCGCAGAGCCTCTTCTTTACCATAACACAGGTAACTATGTGTGTAGAGGGAATTCTTTAGTAAATGTAAGTCAGTTCCCCTGAGGTATATTTATTTATTCACATTTTTTTATTATTGTATTATTATTTTTTTTAATTAGCTAAATATTTCACTATTTTACTGGAGAAAATATTAAGCAATTTAAAACGTATGCAGAGTGAAAAAGTTTTATATGCCAGAAAATACAGTATATTGTAGATAAATCAGGCTTTACCCCTCAAATTCTATTGAAACTGTGCATCTGAATCTGGATCGAAATATCTTGAAATAGCAAATATTAGTGTTTTTGTGTTTATCTTTATGTGAAATACCTTTATCATTAATCTGCCTGAAAAATTATACTATTTCAGCAACATTAACCAGAATGTGAGACAGCCAGAAAGTGTTTTAAAATAGGACGTGTTCTTTAGTATCTTTCTCTTTTTATGTGGCCATTGTATGCATAAAAATGATAACATAGGTGGAAAAAACACACTCACTTCAGAAGTCTCATGCCAGCAGTAGCTCCTAGATACACAGTGGTGCAGTGATGTATGTCTGGGGGAATGTCCCACTTGGCCTGCTTCAGGCACGGCCTCAAGGCTATGGTCTGCTGCACCCTGCTGCCCAGCATAACTAAAAATTCCTCCTCCTGCACAAAGAACCACAAGACATAATAATTACATAGAAATAGTAATCTATTTATTTATTTACTTATTATTATTTAGAACTTTTAATATTATTTTATTATTTATTTTACTAAAAAGGTTACTATCTTACTGCAGAAATCTTAAACAAACATTATGACAGAAAATATATTGTAGATAAATCAGGCTTTGCCCTTCAAATTCTAGCTTTGCATCTTAAAATTGATTGAAATATCTTGCACCATAACATGCATATTGATGCTTTAAAAAAAAAAATATATTTTTTTTTTTCACTTAAGATGTTTATCTATATAGAAAATATCTATATCATTAATCTGCCTGAAAATGTTAAATATTTCAGCAAGTCTTTTGACCTTTGACATGACACTCGCTATGCTGGGTGACCACACCTGTGCCATTTAACTTGTCCGCCGGCAATCTGTAGATGTACAAGGCAGTGTGTGAGGAGCCAGCATCCAGCACAATCCCATACTGCAATGGGAGAGAGAGACAACAACAACAACAACAAAAACGTTCAAATAATCCATGGTCAAATCCATGTTCAATGTGAATGCAATTAGAATGTATTGTCCTCTGTTTTTATACCAAACAGAAGTGAAAGTTTTGGTCAAATTTCTCATTTCCATCACACAATAAGAGCATAGCAGATGCTTTGACAGTGATTTATTCACAGAAACCACTGTAACCATATATTTTGAGATAACCGTCATATTTCCAGTACAATTACTTCTAAGATTTTGTACATATTGTGTGTTTCCATGACTTGCTACACAGTTACTTACCCACGGCTCCCAGGGGTTAACATGTACCTGTTGCCCGATGACACACTCCTGGAGATGCAATTCCCGGAAGTATCTGACATAACAAACTATCCTGAGTCTGCATCTTCATTTGTTTCAGGGTTCCCAACAGGAACAAAATTACCTTTCTCTATGTTTACCTTGTGAAGGCTCACTTCCCCTACAGCTACAAAACTGACTGAATATACTGTACTTTTTTATTATGTACTTTCAGATGCTAATTTTTATATGTGGTTCAGGATGTGGCCTTCAGCTTTGATGTTGCTGTCTGTAACCCAATGATTAGATTCTTAAGTGTCTGAGGCAGGGCTGAATGTGAAAGCACATACAAGTAAGGCACTATTCCTGACAAAGAGCGATTAATTAAATATTATTCAGCTGTACGCAACATAGTGTGTGCTTAAAACATGTTTTTGTGACATTCAATGTTTTCAGGTTTTTTACTTGTCCACAAAAACAATACAATTCCTCTTTGTATCAACTGCCAAAATCGTCCCTCCCATTAAAGGTAGGGTATGTAATTTTTCAAAAACACTTTAGAAAACTGATTCGGGCCGAATAGCAAAACAAACTTCAGCAATAAGGGGCATGTCTACTGGTGATGTGGAGGAGAGAGCTTTCAGTGCATGGGACGGACATTAGCCGAGCCGAGCGACAGAAAGATAGAGATGGCGGATAAAAAACAAAAGAGGAAAACATCTGCGGAATGATAAGGCAAGGAGTAGGACCCGTGTAAATATCGGATCAGCTTTCCAGCGCTGGAGAGAACTCAAGGAGCGGAGGCCGGCGATTGGACGCCGAGGTTGCTTTGTTTCTTCTCAATAGGTGAGTAACACCGTGTCTCCAACAGCTAAAGTCTGCCTACGCTGGACGCGATCAAACGACCGTTGAAAACCATTTGAAATTTGTGTCAGCACGTCATAAATAGAACCCGGCAGCAGTTTTCTGTCGGGATTTGTTGCGCTGCGCCGCTCACGTCTGATGTAGACACGGTGTAACATTGATTTTGCTTTGTTTCACAGAACTAATTGTTGCCTGGGTTGCGTACGTATATGTGGGGCGGAGCTATCAAAATAGGGGCAAGACCCTTTTGGGGTAGGGGCATGTTTGTTTTGGTGATTTCAAATATCAACATTGGCTACCAGAAATCGCTTACCCTGCCTTTAATCAGGAGGATACACTGTGTATAATGCAAGTTAACCTACAGAAGAAACAAAGACAGATAGAGAGCGAGATAGAGAGTGAAAGATAGAGAGAACACAAAAGAAATAATTTAACATTTTAAGCAGGACACAGAAGTACATACCATGTACTCCGGTGGCTCTCTTATTTCATGTATAGATAGAGTCAGGAGTAGAATAGACACGATTCCAAACAGAAAGAGCGCTGCTGAGACAACAAACTTAACAAACTGATTATCCATCAGTAAAGTTGGGGTTTGCCTGGTGCAAATTATAGTGAAGGACCAAGGGCAACCCCAACAAGAGTACAAACTTCTCCTGTACACAGAAGCCCCTCTGATAGAAAGAGTTAGTAACAGTAAACCATTTCTTTTACAGTCTACAGTAAATAATGATAATAAAATTCTCCAAGAATTTACTGCTTCAGCTTGAGTTTGCTTAAAGAGTTTCTTTAGAATAATAAGAAATACCAATTTTGCAAGTGTACATGTTTTATTATTATAAAGACTATTTGGAAATACACATAGATGTAGAATAGCTGTTGTTGTAATAATAATTGTTGTAGAATCGATTGTTAGTAGAACCACAATATGTCCTGCACTAATTATGACCTTTTTGTAGAATGAGGGAGTGTTGAAGAACTTGAAGAACTAATGTGATGGAGACCAATTTTATATACAAGGTTTTGCCTCATTCAGTGTCCCCTGCCTCTATTCAAAAGCTGACACAGACAGCATGCTCTGAATAGGATAATTCCTGCCAAGAGCAGAGGCACTTTGCATCAACAGGATTGCTTTGTATCCACAATGCACTACTCTACATGTGGTAAGAATTTCCTTTTTGGTTGGGAAAAGGGAGGACTGTGAGGAAAAGAAATTAAGAAATGTATGACATCATCCACATTTTGATTAGTTACTGTGCACTTGATGAATGGGGCAGTAATGATTATTTTATGACAAAACAGAATTACTAAATTAAGGCCAAATATCATCTTAAATTCTTAGATTTTAAATTGAACAAGGTTTCAAATATATGGCAAAGGTTATGTTTCTGTCAGGAAAACTATCGTCAAAGATAATTGACAATTAGCATACAGTTTGGATTGGCGGTATGGTTCTGTTCTGGGTAAGAATCAGAAGGCTGAATCCTGACTGACAGAGGAGGAGCTGGGGATGGAGGAGGGTAATTCGCTATTCAGCAATACGAAAACTGCTGATAATACTGAGGGACCTTATATACAGTATAAATGCTTAGATAGATGTCGTATTCCTATAGGTTGATGGGGATCAGCTGAGAGTCAGCTGATGCGAGCTTGACTAACGTGACCTGCCAGAACTAACGCTACGCTTGATATTTGATTTAGTGTTTACAATACAGTCAGTTCAATAAAAGCATGTACTGAGTAATATGACTGAGTGATATGAGTTTGTATTAGCTTGAAAGGAGAAATGAAAACATTTACCAAGAAACACTCACGATTTAAAGAATCACAAGCACACAAAGCTTGAACAAGAACCGCTTTTATGAACAGTATTAACTACATTTCAAGCTTCACTAGATAAAGATGAACAATTTTACTCTGCAAATTAAAATAGGCACAGTTTTCAAGATCATGTAATGGCAAACCTAGGAAGTCATTTGAATAAATACAAAACTAAAAGTTCAGGAACTGAGTAACCTGACAGTGTAAATAACTTCATTTTAAAATCACACATCCACTGAAAAAATCTCACACTGGAGATTTTCAGTGTTATTTCAGTACATAAAACAAAAAACACAGCAGCATAAAACAAATGCATCCCAGATGGGTGCACCAAATATTAAAACAAAAACAATCATATGTGTAACATCTCAGTCCTGCCAGTCCAGCTCTGGCGTAGTGTTTTGAAATACTGGGAGAACAGACTCTTCATGTTGACACAGGTGCCAGACCATAATACAATAATAATTCAGCAGTAGAAGCAGCATCATGACAACCAAGGCCAAAATGACCAGAAGGGCGACCACAAGTCTCTTTCTAGTGCAAAATGGGTGCGATGACCAGTGCTCACTTTGGGAACCTTCCTCTAGTGAGTGTTTAGGCCTGAAGTGTGTGGACAGGCAGTGTTTAATCCAGGTCCCAGCCGGAGCAACAGGTGAAAATAAGCATGCAGCTCTCTCCCCCATCGTCGCAGAAAGAAGAAGCTTCTTGACCACAGAGCAACTGTCACTACCACCTGCCAGCCAGTGTCTGAAAATAGAAACATACAGTGGTCATATGGATTAAGCAGTCTAGTGCAAGTAATAGCAACAACAGTTATTAGTAATGAAATCTTATCCCAAAAAACAACTATTAAATATTTTTGTAGTCTGGTTTCTTTAATAAAATAATAAATAAGTTACATTGGACGCCGAGGTTGCTTTGTTTCTTCTCAATAGGTGAGTAACACCGTGTCTCCAACAGCTAAAGTCTGCCTACGCTGGACGCGATCAAACGACCGTTGAAAACCATTTGAAATTTGTGTCAGCACGTCATAAATAGAACCCGGCAGCAGTTTTCTGTCGGGATTTGTTGCGCTGCGCCGCTCACGTCTGATGTAGACACGGTGTAACATTGATTTTGCTTTGTTTCACAGAACTAATTGTTGCCTGGGTTGCGTACGTATATGTGGGGCGGAGCTATCAAAATAGGGGCAAGACCCTTTTGGGGTAGGGGCATGTTTGTTTTGGTGATTTCAAATATCAACATTGGCTACCAGAAATCGCTTACCCTGCCTTTAATCAGGAGGATACACTGTGTATAATGCAAGTTAACCTACAGAAGAAACAAAGACAGATAGAGAGCGAGATAGAGAGTGAAAGATAGAGAGAACACAAAAGAAATAATTTAACATTTTAAGCAGGACACAGAAGTACATACCATGTACTCCGGTGGCTCTCTTATTTCATGTATAGATAGAGTCAGGAGTAGAATAGACACGATTCCAAACAGAAAGAGCGCTGCTG